AAGAATAATGTAGCCCCAAAGCCCCACAACCTGAAGCCCTAAACCCCCGAAACCCTGAACCCTAAACCCTAAACCCTAAATCCTAAACCCTAAACCCTACCGTTCGCCGAGACACCAGCGGAGTAGCCGACAAGGGCGTGCTCGCATCGGAGCCCCAGTAAACCTCGCGGCGAGGGGCTTTCCTCTGGGCGCTCAGCCGCGTACTTATAACGCTACTACGGCACTGAAGGGTTTAGGGTTTAGGGTTTAGGGTTTAGGGTTTAGGGTTTAGGGTTTAGGGTTGAGGGTTCAGGGTTTATAACCTTATGAAGGCGCGGAAGGGGCTTATCAGTGGGTTTTTCAGTACAGTTCTCATTGGTTGATAAGTACCATGAACCTCCAAGTAGGACCATGCCCTAAACCCTCGAGCCCACCAGGGCCGAGGGATTTAGGAACAGGGTTGGTAAGCCATGAGCCCTACAGTGCACTTCACCCTAAAATGCATTTTAACAATCAGTGGTTCAACCCAAACCCTAAACCCTGAACCCTAAACCCAGGGGCGGGTCAAGCTAAGGGCATGCTTTTGGAGGGAGCAGGACCATGCCAAGCGACCGAGAAGAAGTCAATGCCCGGGCCGTGGGGATCATGCCTTGGGTTTAGGGTTTAGGGTTTAGGGTTTAGGGTTTAGGGTTTAGGGTTTAGGGTTTAGGGTTTAGGGTTTAGGGTTTAGGGTTTAGGGCTTTGGGCTTTAGGCTTTAGGCTTTAGGCTTTAGGGTTTAGGCTTTAGGCTTTAGGCTTTAGGCTTTAGGCTTTAGGCTTTAGGCTTTAGGGTTCAGGGTTTAGGGTTCAGGGTTCAGGGTTCAGGGTTCAGGGTTCAGGGTTCAGGGTTCAGGGTTTAGGGTTCAGGGTTTAGGGTTTAGGGCCTGTGTTCTGGGAGTCCAGGAAAAGAAGGCGGCATGGGCTAAGTTTTGGTCCAGCTCTTCGCTATTTCTGTTGAGCAGAAGGATCTCTGAACCCTAAACCCTAAACCTAAACCCTAAACCCTAAACCGCGATTTTCCAGCCAGCCCCAGATACGGGGGACTGCGGATGGAGATGTTGCCCGCGATCACGCCCTGCACAGGGAGCTCGACTGCTTCCCCCAGACATTTGTACACTCCACGAACCCGTACAAACCCTCATTGCAAGGAAAAACCGCCGAAGCCCCAACTCCTCCTAAAGCCCTCTAGGCCCCAGAGATTTAGAAGCCCGTAAGCCCCATAAGCTATCTATATATATATATGTATACATATATATAAACCTGTAAGCTCTGAAAGCCTCTGTAAGCCTCTGCAAGACCCGACATCCCTCACCCCAAGCCCAGATCCTTCTGAGGATCACTGTCCGAGATGTGCACGCCCAGCGCCGCTTGCACAGGCACGCTCGCCTGGACTTCCTTCGAACCCGGACGCAAAAGGTTCATGTTCATGGCGAGCTGTGAAAAGCTAAAGGCATTACTACCACTTGCTCAAGAACCTCCAAAAAAAGTCCAAGAAAAAAATCCCTACATTCCCCTTATAAGGGAACGTCTTTCTATTTTTTCTGCGGGGGGGGGGGGGGAGGGTCTTAAGCAAGTAAGCAAATAGTAGATTAAGGTTTTCTTCTTGTAACCCGAACCCTCACAGCGCTCCCCGGATGGCCGAAGCTTTGCATCTCATGGCACGGGGCTGTTTCTTTGCCGTTCTGGGGCTCTGGGTTTAGGGTTCAGGGTTTAGGGTTTAGGGTTTAGGGTTTAGGGTTTAGGGTTTAGGGTTGAGGGTGTATTTGGCAAAAGGGTTCAGGGTATTTTGCAATCCCCAAGTACAGGAGGGGAAGGGGAATGATAGCAGAGGCAAATCAGTTCAGGAAGCTCTACAAGGTGCTGCAGAACGCTTCTTATATAGATATATAGATATATAGATATAAACATATATGGATATGTAGATATATAGATATATAGATATATAGATATATAGATATATAGATATATAGATTTCTAGATATATAGATATATAGATATATAGATATATAGATATATAGATATATAGATATATAGATATATAGATATATAGATATATAGATATATGGATATATGGATATATAGATATATAGATATATAGATATATAGATATATATGGTCACCCCCCCCCCCCTCGACAGACCCCGGAAGTATATTTCCGGTCTGTTCAGGAAGGGGGGGGGAAAAAGCACCACTCCAAAATTCCTCGAGTTTCCAAAAATCCAAAAATCCAAAAAATCCAACCCAGGGTTCCGCTTTTTGGAAACTCGAGCGGGAGCCTCAAAATCCTAAAACCGAGCAAATTCCTCGAGTTTCCAAAATTCCAAAATTCTTAATTTTTGGAAACTCGAGCGGGAGCCTCAAAATCCAAAAATCGAGCAAATTCCTCGAGTTTCCAAAATTCCAAAAATCCAAAAAACTCCACTTCTTCGGTTCGTTCCGAACCCTACCTGCTCGGTCTGCAACTCGCCGACACGCCTGCATGCGTGTAACTAATCAAAGGTGAACAAGAGTCGCACATCCAAACTTCGTACAAACTCGAAATGCGGGTTTGGGGTTTACAAGCTAGGGGCTTGGGTCTTAGGTTTTCGGATGGATTTCCGAGGGCTGGGGCCCGGAGATTCCTAAAAACTAGGCCAGCGTCCAGCAGCAGACATGCGATTACCTCGGCTCGGTGAGCTTGGCAGCGGCAGCCGGGTTTAGGGTTTAGGGTTTAGGGTTTAGGGTTTAGGGTTTAGGGTTTAGGGTTTAGGGTTTAGGGTTTAGGGTTTAGGGCTTAGGGTTTAGGGTTTAGGGTTTAGGGTTTAGGGGGATCGACAGAGGGCCAAGAACTTCAGTTCCTATGCTCTATCGTGCCCGAGGTAGATGGGCTCAGGTCTTCGGGCTTGCATGGCTTGGAGTTTTGAGATCAACTCTAAACCCTAAACCCTAAACCCTAAACCCCAAACCCTAAACCCTAAACCCTAGACCCCAAACCCTAAACCCTAGACTTCAACGTGGCAATCAGAAGGAGCCAAGCTGCACCCAACAATTGCCAGGGGCGCGCTGCCCCAACCATGCTATGCAGACCTCGGTTGGGCTTGGGGGGTTTGGGTTTTAGGGGTTTGGGGTATGTGGGGGGTTTGGGGTTTAGGGTTTAGGGTTTAGGGGTTCAGGGGTTCAGGGTGTAGGGGTTTAGGCTTTAGCCTGACCTGGCCATGAACAGCGCCACCGTGTAAGCAGTGGATCCAAGAAAAGTGAGTCTGTGCTGACCCTAAACCTAAACCCTAAACCCTAAATCCTAAACCCTAAACCCTAAACCCTAAACCCTAAACCCTAAACCCTAAGCCTAACACCTAAAACTCTGCTACCCTCATGCCCTAAGCGCAACCCCGAAAGAGACAGGGCCCCCCGCGCACAACTGCGCCTGTCGAACATGCGGTGCTTCACGAGGGGATGCGTGTATAGCCAAGCGCTGCAGCATTCAAAGCAGGGTTTGGAGCTTGGGACTCTGCTCTCCCCCCAGCACCCTGCTCTCCCCTACTCTCCCAGCCTCCCCACCCCAAACGCGAAGCCTAAACTCTAAACCCCTAAGCCCTTTTCATTGTTTCTTACGTTTTGGGCAGCTCCGCCCAAGCCCCCTTCTTGCTGTTCACGCCCTCTCCCGCCTCCCTGCCCAGCCCCTTTTGCCTTTCCGACCCTTTCTCCCTGGCTTTGGGGCTCGGCCTGTTTTTGCGGGGTGGAAGGGTTACAGTTTGTTATTGTTCTGAAGGGTTGGTCCCCCATTGCTCTCTTCACGTGTCCCACCCTGCATGCATGCAAGAAGAAGCCCAGTTGCACGGACTCACGAAGTTGGAGGGTCGTGAAGGACAACAGTGGCATCCAATCGAATGCGAACTGAACCTGTTATTTCTGCGCGCCAAGTCAAGCACCCTAGCTACTGTCTGTAAAGAACCCATCGACACAACGCACCTGAAGAATACTGAGTAGTGCTGTTATGGAGAATTCCCAAATCAGCACAGGTGCTCTGATAGGTGCCATGGCCACCACCCCTCAACATCAACACCCTCAACCCTGCGCGCGGTCTCCGGCGCCTTTCTTTTGTTGCAAAGCTGAGGAGGCGCAGGGCTCAGAGGGACGTGACTCAGGGTCTACTTGAAGGTTCATATAGGACTTGATAGCCACTTATACCTGGGCTTATAACCCTACTTATACATGGGATAACCCCTATAAGGCCCTTTAGGGGCATTATAGGTAGGGTTAGAAGTACAGTTATAATTGGTTAGTAAGTACCATGAACCTTCAAGTAGGGTTTAGGGTTTAGGGAAGTTTTGGGTTTTGGGGGGGGCTTTGTGGTAGGGTTGAGCCGACACGATATTCTGTACTGCGTGCGCGTGGAAGGGCCGTCAATAATGGCTCACTCCCGTGCGAATTACATGCAGCTGAAAAATGGGGGGTTCCGAAACTAGGGGAGGTTTCTTATTGAGAGTCCTTATTGCAAGGGAACCCTAAACCCTAAACCCTAAACCCTAAACCCTAAACCCCATTATTTGGGTATCTTTATTGGGGGGTCCCCCTATCTTCGTAAACCCCCAAATGGGAGATGCGGTGAGAGGTCCACTTCTCCAGTGCCAGCTGCTGCATTCACGAAACCATGGTTTAGGGTTTGGGGCTTAGGGTTTAGGATTTAGGGTTTAGGAATAGGGTTTAACTTTCTATTCCTTACTGAGTTTAAGTACCCTTAAATGTAAAATGTTACCCCACCATGACAAAGTTCAAGGGTTTAAGTTTGCGGGTTAGGGTGAGGATGCGGGGGGGGGGGGGGGGGGGCATGGGGAGCTCCAGAATGAATGAGAATGGCTATTCTGGGTAATTTTGTCTGTGTTAGACGGAAAGATTACACAGGCAATCTATTGAGGCTTGTCTGCTTCGGGGGCTTCGGATTCTTGAGCTCAACGCTCCTTTCATTCTTGCAGCTTGGCACCTCTGGGCACCAGGGCCACCCTTCAAGCCAGGCGATGCAAGTGCATGACCCCTGGGGCGCGGGTGGATAGCTTCAGGTACGTAGGCCCAAACCCCTCAACTGGTTCTGCATGGTTCTGGGGTAACCTAGGCAAAAATAGGTTTTGGGGTTCTTCAGGTAGGCTTTAGGATGCTGGTGCGTTGGGGCTCACGGCTTTGAGGCGTTGGCCTTAGGGTTTCGGGTGGCCTATGAACAACCTCGTTGGGGGCCTACCCATTGTGCGGAGCCCAAGAGCCCCCATGCCCCTAAAGGAATGGAGCTCTCTCATTCACCCTCAACCCTAAATCCTAAACCCTGAATCACAAACCCTAAACCCCAAACCCTAAACTCTAAACCCTACAAACCCTAAGCCCTGAACCCTGAACCCCAGATTTACAAGAGTCTCAGGCCCCTGGCCTTCTTCACAGGCCCGCCCACCCTTGCGCTTCTCCTGGCTGCCGAGGAAGTTGGGCTGGCGGAAGATCCGCGTCTGTTAGCCCTAAACCCTAAACCCTAAACCCTAAACCCTCAACCCTCTAAACCCTAAGCCGTGAACCCTGAGCCCTAAAGTCGCAGGCGGAGAGTGCAAGCCGAGCCAACACTCCAAACTTCAAGCCCCGGCCACATCGCATCCAAAAGAACCAGGGTTTAGGGTTTAGGGTTTAGGGTTTAGAGTTTAGGGTTTAGGGTTTAGGGTTTCGGGTTTTAGAGTTTCGGGTTTAGGGATGGTGTTTAGGGCCAAAAGAACCAATACAACCACTGTGTGGGGGGGGGGGGGAGGCGGCTTCGGGTTTCGGGTTTTAGAGTTTAGGGTTTCGGGTTAGGGTTTAGGGTTTGGATTTAGAGTTCGGGTTCTGGGATAGGGTTTAGGGTTCACCCGAAAATGCGTGTTGTTGATACCGCTCTACCTGATGATCTGATGACGACCAGAATGGCGCGACGATCGCCCGCCATGAAGGTGTCAGGAATGTTCACAACACAACTAAACCCTAAACCCTAAACCCACGTGCATGCACACCACCCCCGCAAAGAAGGCTCCTCGAGGTTCTGCATGAGGCCTCGGCAAATTTGATCTTGCCAGTGCCTCTGCACCAGGATCCTGAACAGGCGCAGAGTGCGGGAGAGCGCTGCACAAACTGCGCGACTCATGGGGTTTAAGGTTTCGGGTTTAGGGTTTAGGGCTTAGGGATTAGGGTTTATGGGTTCAGGATGCTGCACCAGCGAGCCACACACGTGGTCACAAGGTCACAGAGGGTATCCGCCAATCACCGGTCCGTAAACCAGCCATTCTAGCCACTGTAATGAGGCGGATCGTGATAGGAATAGGCTAAGTGACCTCTCTCTCTCACACAATCGCCCGTATGGCTAACCCTAAACCCTAAACCCTAAACCCCAAACCCTAAACCCTAAACCCTAAAGCCTTTTTGAGGCCCTGGCAGATCCAGCTTCAGGAGCTGGCGGTTGGCGCGGAGGGCCTCCGCGGCGGCCTTGTAGATCTCGGTGCCGGCCTCGTTCTGCGATGCCCCAGCTCTCCGGTTTAGGGTTTAGGGTTTAGGGTTTAGGGTTTAGGGTTTAGGGTTTAGGGTTTAGGGTTTAGGGGTTTAGGGGCTCTGGGGGGGCAGTTCGTAAGTAGGTAGAAGGAAGTAGCTACTCTGCCTACAATCAAGTTGGCGCTCGGGGGGGCTGACGGGCAAATCGACTCAGACTCCAGCTCAAGACACGCTTGCCGCGAATCAGATTTGATTCTTCTCTCCAGTACAGCACTGACACTGGGTCAGGCAGCAATTGGACTATGAGATTCATCACATTCGCGCGCAGGGTCCGGGCCGGACGTGCAAGCTTCAAGGCTTCAAGTGGCAACTTGCCATTACGTCGTCCACGCAGCAAGCGAAAGCTTGACGGGCAAGGTCGACAGCTGGAGAAAACAAGCCCCTTCAACTCGAAGGCACGGGCGAGGCCTACGCGGCATGAAGGCGGCCTTCCCACAGAAGGAGTGAGCCACGCATGCGTCACATGAGTGTCCCTTCCACCTGAGAACGGCATCCGCAGCGGTCCAGGGCTTTCCCGGAGCTCCGGAATGATGTGATGCATGATTTTTGTTTCGGGTCGTGGGGCCCGACAAAGGTGTGCTGGAGAAAGGATTGAAGATTTTGGGGGTTTCAGGCAGCTGTCAATCAGAAGGGGCTGCTGCCCCTAAAGTCATCAGCCGAGCACCCTAAACCCTAAACGCCCCCAAATCCCCCCCAAGAAGGCAATCCCCACAAAATGAACAAGTCGATCCCGAAGGGCGCTAAACCCCAACCCCAAACCCTAAACCCTAAACCCTAAACGCTAAACCCTGAACCCTAAGCCCTAAACCCTAAACCCTAAACGCTAAACCCTAAACCCTAAGCCCTAAACCCTAAACCCTAAACCCTAAACCCTATAGACCCTAGACCCTAAACCCAATTCGTCCCTGCATCTCCGGAAGGTTCGGGCCTTGCCCCGCATCATCTGCGCGAAGTCCACAGGAGGGGAAGCCTTCAGGGATGCCTGGAAGTTCACCCGCAGGTCCTCCGCAACCAAGGGGGGGGGGGGGGGGGGGGGGGGGGGGATATAGGGACCCCCAAAATTATTCAAGCCCCAAAGAATGGGGTTTAGGGCTTAGGGTACCGAAATTGGGGGGAGGGACCGGGGGGGTTCATGGGGCTCGTGGGCTGAATTTATGGGGTTTATGGGGTTTATAGGGTTTTATGGGCTGAGAAGGGTTCAGGGTTTTTGCTTTGTGGTTCGAGGAGTACGGTTTTTTGAAGACTTCTGGGACTATGGGGGCCTTTTGGGGGCTTTTGGGTCAAGTCTCGAAATCATGACTTATGGGTTCTCAGCGGGGAATTAGGGCATGAGGGTCCCCATAGAATCCCTGCAAGATAGGGGTATGTGAAGATCTAGTAAGATTATCTCTTTTACAATACAGGCCCTTATAATATATATATATATACATATACATATTCATGCAATATAATATAGTATGATATGATATAATATAACATAATATCACATAATATAATATTGAATTCCTAAATCCCTAAATCCCAAAATCCCTAAATCCCTACATCCCTAAATCCCTAAATCCCTAAATCCCTAGCTCTCAACCCTAACCCCCTTACACCCTGAACATCCCAGAAGGAGGAGCCTGTAGCGCAGAGCTCGGAGCCAGGGAGTCGAAGATCGCCTAAGCCAAAAACTTGAGGATGGAGGGCTGAGGGCTTCCTAGCGTTTAGGGTTTAGGGTTTAGGGCTTAGGGTTTAGGGTTTAGGGTTCAGGGTTTAGGGTTTAGGGTTCAGGGTTCAGGGTTTAGGGTTTAGGGTTTAGGGTTTAGGGTTTAGGGCTTCGAAGTCGAGCTCCACGTAGAACTCCACAACGGAAAAGCACAAGCCATTCCAGAGATCTCCATCTTGGTACCCCACAAAATCGGTTTAGGGTTTAGGGTT